ATTTTTTCTCTGAAATTTTTAATCATAGGATAGTTTTGGGGAAAATTTTTAAAGAACCAATAAAATAGATTGTTTATTCAATTAATAAACAACTTGAAAATAATGTATAAAATAAGTTTTTGCTGCAAAGAAATAATTAATTTTTTTTTTTTGCGTTAGTTTTCTTTTTTTGTGTGTATTTCTTTCTTTTATAATAAAAAAAATACTTAAAGTGTTTAAAATTTGGACTTTACTAGGAACAAACTGGAATGTGTTAAATATCAGACTAAAATTTGGACTTCACTAGGAACAAACTGGAATGTGTCAAATATCAGACTAACCTACTATATTCCTCACTATAACTTGAAAATCGCCTTCTTCTTTTTTTCCCACATACACTCCCCAACACACACCCGTAGAATCGCCCCTGCTTGAACTGATTTTACTAGCTCACAAAACGTCTTAAAACAAGTAGGGGAAAGCGGGGCAACATGGCGAACGTTTTGAAAGCCTTTAGTTATTACAAAACTATCAGTCGTGAAGCGATAATAGTTTCTCAGTATGTTTATGTTATTAAAATGATTAATTGGCTGCATGAATTCTCAGTTTGCAAATATTTGCCTTCATTTTTACAAAATTTTAAGAACTAACAATAACTCTAACTAAAGTAACACAAAATAAACACAAACCGTAAAAAACTACTTTTAAAGAAGTTAAACTTGAATGACACCATCCATTATGCGAAACCGAAAGTGAGGAAAAAAGCGCAAAAAGTAAACTTATTAAGTTGCGTTAATAATATTTAAAAAAATTAAGTGGTGCTTTAAAATACAAGATGCAAATACAGTTTCGTTTTCACCCAATTTTAAGATTTTTTTTTGAGTTGTTATATGAAAACCCATCTTGCCCCATTTGCCATGTTGCCCCGCTTTCCCGTAAATAAAAAAAAAGTAAGTACAATAAAATAAGTACAAAACCATATTGAGCAAACATTAATGGTATGATTGAATTTCAAGTCATTAATAAAGAAAAGCAAAAATTCTGTCTTTATATTTTAAAAATTAAGAATAGCTAACATAATCAACATAATATTGATAAACGGGCTCAAATGAAATAGTTAAAAGTTTTTTTTACTGAAATTAAATTTTTTAATTTTTTTTTTCTCAAGTCATAGAGAATTTTGAGCTTTTTTTAGTTTTTCAGGAAACTTTGTTTATTTAAAGAAACAATTTCATTCTACCCATACATTTAAGAAAAATGGAATGTGCAAGTCAATAGGTAAATAAAAGAACACTTAGTTTTAAATATCAACCAAAAATAACAATTAAGAAAACAACTAATAATAACAATTAAGAAAACAACCAATAATCACATTTGAAAAAACACAACCAATCAAAAACCAAACAACCAATCAAAAAAAAGTTTTTAAAAAGTTCTGGAGGTTAAAAGTTGAGGACTAACTTTTGAAACATTTTTTGGTGCGATAAAACCTAATTGAATAAAATTCAAAAACTTTAAATTTTGAATTTTCACATGGTACGATTTCTATTTTGATTTGTTGAAACTTTGTTTAAAACTTGACTATTGACTTGGCTTTCTGTTGTTGTTTTTGTTGTTGTTGTTGCAGTCAATAATGTTGCTTTATTTATTTGTCAAAGTTAAGCTTAAGATGTTCATCCTTAAAGTTAAGTTAACTTTTTATCTTACTTTGCTGCTTTTTTGAATTTTTTTTTCTATTATTTTTCATACTTATAAATATATCATTTTAAATATCCTTTAAAATTTTATATAACTATTCAAGTTAATTTATTTGTATCTAGATAATTATTCAAATTAATTTGTTTGTATCTAGATAATTATTCAAGTTAACTTATTTGTATCTAGATTATTCGAGTCGAACCATAAAAAGAAAAGAAACTAGATTTACGGGTTCTATATCAATAATAAATCACAAGGGGCATCTATAAAGCACTTACGCAATAAAACCATTGACTTAGCGCCCGCCTCCCGCTTTGTGCGCACCTATTTGCATTCAAGACCATCTCCCTCTACGTACTTACGCATTTGTAACAAAATCCTCCCTCTGTTTATTTTTTCCACGCATAAATGTTTTCATTAAAAACAAAAAAACTTTTTGTTTGTTAACTTGGTTTACAAACCTCATAAAAATAAATTATTTTGTTAAAAAAAAAATTAGTTTATAGATAGGTAGATAATGAGAGATAGTCAAACCGGGTATTCGTTGTCTTAACCACCTCCCCTTGTACGCATTTGTACCCTAAAGATAATAATCTCACCGTAAATTACTTTGATACTGAACAAATTTCAAGGCACTTGATGACCCTCAAGGTCGTCTAGCGTCTGAAATCCATGTTTAACCACTGTGACTAGGGTTCGATGAAAAAAAATAGTCGAAAAATTGGATGCACTTATTTAGATATCATTAAAATTTTTGCCATATACTCTAACATCAAAACATATACAAAAATGGTATAACTGGTTGGCAAGAGAACTAGAAAGAGCAAATCAAAACCAGAATTGATTGTCTTTTTTCTTTTTTTTCATTCCCCACAACCTCGTAGCCAACAAAGTCTAATATAAGGAAAGATTTTTCAAGGGGAGTTAGTGCTGTTCACTAACAACCATCATTCCGATATCATATCTGTATGTTGGCCGGATCTGGCATCATCCTATTACGCAAAAACTGCAACCGACTGATACAATCCCCATTGGATCAATTTTTTTTTAAAAAAGTAAGCAATACGCGAGTTGTGCTAAAGTGTCACCTTATTAAAGACTTTTGAACTATTTTGAAAGACAAGATGTATGAGGGTAACTGGGTGCAATGAGGGTAACTGGTAAAAAAAAAACGTGAAGCAACTATAAAATAAAATAAAGCTTTGTCTGAATAAATTTAAACTTGATCTTGTATGTACACTTTTTTCGTCAATTAAGATTATAAAATAGAGGTTTTAGTTTTTAATTATTAATTAAGATCTAAAAACTCTACTTAGTGATTTAATCTCTATTGATTATATAAAGTTAACAACGACTGTATTTCATCTCAATAGGCTGCTTTAATGGAGACGTGGATTTTTACCCTTGCAATTGCTCACTACCTAAATCAAACCCTGTCACCTATAGTAAGTTTGTCCACTGCCACCTAAAGTAAATTTTAAGTTTGAAAAAAAAACACATCGTCTAAAATTTTTGAAAAAAAACACAACAAACAAATCGTCTTTCAAAAAACCAATACAACAGGCTAATTTACAAACATTTAAAACAACAAGCTACTTTTACTTTATCACCCTCCGCAAATTATTAAACAAACTTCTATCTCTATCATTAATAGGTTATCCCTGTGAAAATATTTCAACTTTAAATCAACAAAACTATAGTATGAAAAAACCCTATAAAGAAATGAATAATAAACCTGATGAATGGATATTGTGAAAAAGTTACCATTTAGAGTTTTTTTTTTAATTTCATTTTCAGCACTACATATTAGTTACAATTTTTTCATAAATTTTTTCAAATTTTTTCAAGCAAAATATACTTCCGTTACAAAAGATCATATTTAACCAAATGTTGCTAAAATACATCTAACAAAAAAAAATTAATTTTAAATTTAGGAATCATTCCCAATAGGCATCGGACCTAAAAAAGACGTCTTTTGAACGTTTTAAAGAGGTCCAAAACGTTTATAAGACGTCCAAAACGTGTATAAGACGTTTAAAAGAGGTCTTTTTTACATCCGTGCTCACTGGGTTAGTTAAATATATTATGAAGGGCTTGTTAAGATAAATTATATTGTTATAGGGAACTCGTAGAAGACTGAATTAGTCTTATCATCAAAAACCTTGGAGTATTACGCAAGATTACATTGTGATTCTTATGCACAAATATTTTAAATATTATTGTGCCTTTTTTTGTTGCTTTGAATGAAATAAAATATATTTAGTTTTTTGTACGTTTATTGATAACTTAATAGAACTGAACCATATTTTAAGTTGTTGAAGCTTAAGGTTGACTTGGTCAAAAAGATCATTGATAGAAGGCGATAAATAAAACAGATTTGTATCATCTGCGAACATAATGCAATCAAGATTTGTAGAGGCTTTAGGAATGTCATTAATATATATATGTAACAACAAAGGGGCAAGAATTGATCTCTGTGAAACACCACATTTTATTTTTAATAGCTTTGAGTTTAAATTGAGATTTACTTTATTTAATTTACTTTAGTTAATTCAAGACAAAATGATAAGAAATCTCCAAAAAAACTCGAGAGGTAAATGTTTGGTAAAAATGAGAGGTAAAAAACTAGTTTAGATATTTATTTTTGAGGCGTTAATTTTGATGTTGTAATTTTTCTATAGTTAATTTTATTGTTAATTTTAATAGCGTTTTTTTACGCGTTTGTGTGTTTTAGCAAGTCATCGAAGATGCAAAAATTGTTTAAAAAATTTTTTTTCTCACTTATAAATAAAAAATTAGTTAAATACTGTCTTTAGTTTCTATTTTATGACAACTTTTATTTAAACTTTATATAACTTTTGTGCAACAAAATCTTAATACGTCTATTTTTTTTTTAATACACGGTATATTTGTATATATTTTATTAGACGCGAATATATTAAAATATTAATATAATAAAATATATAAATGATATAGCTATGATTAAATCAAATTTGAATATTATGAAAATTTACTTATTCTTTAGAGCCGGTTACTTTCATTTATTACTTTAATTAATTTATATTCTAATATTAACTTGATTTGAATCATAGCAGCTATAAAAAGAATTTTCGTTAATATACAGGTTAAATTCTTTTAAGATAAATATTGTATGCATTATAAATTGAAATTTAATGTCACTAGGGAAATTATATTTTTTATTAATAGTAAATTATTAAAACAAAAAATGATGAAAATCTTTATCAAAAATTAATATATAAAAAGTTAGATGCAGTGATTATAATAAATAATGCAGATTTTTAAAGCAATGTGGTTACCTCTCTAAATGTGAGTTGATGTAAAATTAGTTAGGATTTTTTTTTGCGTTGTATAAAACGACTTTGATGTTGTATTTTTTTTTTGCGAATAATGTAATATTCTTCTAAACTTATAACCCATGAGTTTTTACAGAATGACGAATATGGTTTTAATAACGACAGTTCTTTTGTTTAACAAAGGTAGAGACATTTATATATATATATAACAAATTTGATGTTGTATTTCTTTTTAAAAATAGTGTAACGTTATTGTTTTAAAGTTTTAACCCTTGACTGGGCAATTTTTTTAAATTTAAAAACATATTTTTATTTAAAAAATACTATATTGCCAAAAATAATTCAAAATGTAGCCTTAATACAGAATCATGCAAACCGCCATAATAACCTTAAAAATTTTTTAAATGCTTAATATCATGTAAAAATCACAAAATGTTAAAAGTGCAAAGGTCAATAAATTAGATTTTATATTTTGCTGTCATATGTATATATTTATATATGCCATATACATATGCCAACGGTATATATGCCAACAAAGTCCATTAAAGGGTCAATCTGGTTCAAGGCCGCCGAGAGCCGTCACGCCGCCTGGGACAGCAACCCTAATTGGTGCCCTTATTTATCAAAATTTCTCTATATTATAGATGACGGACTATTTTTTTAGGTACCTCTTTTTCATTTGGTGCCCTTTGAATATCTGTCGCCCAAGACAAACTGTCCCTTTTGCCCCTCCCTCTCGGCGACCCTGATCTGGTTTATAGTAATCAATTTTACAGAATGACACATTGTTTTATCAATGAACATTTTTTTATCAATGAACATTTTATCTTTTTTATTTTAAATTGAAAATAGTGGGTGTTTTAGATCCCCTTCACTCTCCCTTCCTTCATAAAATAAAAACATAAGGTTTTTTTTTATTGTTTAATTGCATTAGGAATAAATCTTGGCAAAAAATGACTTTATATTAGAACAAAAAGTAAAAAAATAATCTTTCTCTATCGTTTGAATAAGATAGATATGAAAATAGGCCGTGTTTAAAACGATTAAAGTTTACTCAACATAGATAATGCAAATTAGTAAAACTTGAATCGGAAATTTTTATGAAAATCTCATCTTAGATAATCTAGGTTGTTCCATTTCATTTAAAACTTTATATTATAGGGTTTATATATATATATATATATATATATATATATATATATATATATATATATATATATATATATATATATATATATATATATATATATATATATATATATATATATATATATATATATATATATATATATATATATATATATATATATATATATATATAAAGCTAAAGTTACGATTCCATAATATAACGCAATTTTGTTATATTAAATTATTTAAGATAAAAAGTCTTAATAGGTATATGACGTTTTAAATTAATTTTAAAAGATTTCTTATAGCACTCAGTAAAATCTTTTTTGTTTTTCTTTGAAACTATCTAATCATCTATCTTGGTAGGCCAGATATTTTACGTAAATACCTTGATTGTTTTAATTAATAACTGACTGACTGCAATTTCTTGAAAAGCATCTTAACTTAAGTGAGTACATACAAATTTGATAAAACTGTGTACCGCGTATTCCCAGTGGGCACCGGACCAAAAAAGACGTCTTTTGAACGTTCAAAAGACGTCCAAAACGTTCAAAAGACGATCAAAGACGTCTAAAACGTGTATAAGATGTTTAAAAGACGTCTTTTTTACGTCCGTATCCACTGGGTTTATTTTGTCGGTGTTAGTTTTAGGATATACAATAGCCTAAATAAATAAACAAATTTGCGAAAAAGTTTTATATAATATATGCAAAAATAGTTTTGTATTCCACAGAATTGAGAATAATGTATTCCACAGAATAGAGTACTTAATATTCTTTGAACAACAGATCAATAATAAATTAGTAAAAAATCACTTATTATTAAAACAATTTTATTTTACACAGTGTTTCATCAATCGCTCGTCAGAAATAAAATGCTTAAATTAATAAACTTCAAGATGCACCGAAAATGAAGTTACAGAAAGTCATAAATGTTTTACTATTTTTTTTTTTTTTTTTAAATAATAAATATTATTTTCTTTTTTAAGAAGGAAAAAAAAAATACATTTTTTTTTATAATTCAAATTTGCCTTTTGGAATAATTACAATTTTTGTATTTGAAATTTATACAAATGGACAGCAAGAAGAAGACAAAATAGTCTTTTCGCTAAACCCCTAATAATCAGTAAGTAATTTATATACACAAATTAAACATCATAAAAAATGTCATCAAACATATTTTCTCCAAAAAATTGAAAAAATAAAGATGATAAGAAAACCCTAAAATTGACTTTCAATAATATATGAATAATAATAAATGAACACAAAGCAAAACGATAAACAAACAAAAAAATTCCAAATTATATAAAAATATTACGACGGATAATTTCCGCGCGGAAAAGTTTTAGGCATGCGTAATGATGTTAAACAAAAACTAAAACGAAAAATGGAAATGCTTAATGTTTGAGCTTCTATATACTTTAACTTTTTACCAACTTTCATCAAAACTTTTTTATTTAACACTGTTTGCGCATGCTCAAAAAACATTTCTGCTCGGAAATTTCCAAATAAAAACTGAATAGCCTAATATTTCTGATTTTCTTTCTTATTGCTTTATAATAATCAGCTTAATATTTCACGCATTAGTGGAATTTCACAAACTTGTCAAATATGTCGACATTATTATTAAAAAAATTCTTTATAATAATGTTCACGCCACCTTATTCATCGATGTCGTTTATCAAAGTATTATTTTTTTTTAACAAAAAAAATCTAATCTTTTTTGTTAATATCTTACCAGAAAACACATCTAAAAGCTAAAACATTCTAAAAGACGTGTTTTAGCTTTTGTGTAAAAATCGTTTTTTAGACATCAAGTATTTGTAAGGTAACAGATCAAACTAGAAAAATTTAAGAATAAACTTCTCTTCTAATACAGGAGTATAAAAATGTATGAAACTTTTTTCGTCAAAGGCCATCCTGGAACTACTTCTTAACGCTATATTCATGCTCAAAAACTTATGCGTTTACCACAAATACGTTTTTTAAAAAAAATATTTTATTTTAAAATAACTAAATAATACTAACGATCTATACTAAAACTATTTAAAAAAAAAGTTTGTAGTCTGAAATCATCTTTTAACCTATACACGCGGAATAAGTTGAAATAGTAACAAAAAAAAAAGTTTCTTTCTAAAACATGTTTGTATTTTTTTTTAGCGCTAACGTACACCCGATGACACAATTCTCAATTCATTTTTATTTTAACGTTGTAAATAATTTGTCTAAAGTAACAAATTCACATTTGATATATAATTCTCTTTCATAAATGATGAATCGCTTGAATCTAGCGCCGTTTGTTTTTCTTTTAATAGCAAAAATGAAAACTTGATTAGTTTGATGATTTATCGTTTTAATGGTAAATCGATTAAGTTGATTAATGCTGAATCGATTAAAAAAAAAAACACTTTTATTAGATTAGACAAAATAAAAATTTAATTCAAAAGATTACAGAATCAGACAATTTTATGGAATCAAAGCTTTCATTACTTTAAATAAAAAATTTTTGGTATTTAATTATAAATTTACAAAAAATTTCCTAAACATTTTACAATTATTTTTTTGTCTCCCTATGGTATTTATGAAAAAAATTAAACAATAAAATTTAACGACGTTTTGATTGTGGCTTTTTGTTTCATGCATTTTTTTTTTTAGTTCTAATATTTTTTAATTAAAATTGCTACATTTATATAACTTTTTTTTATTATTAAAAAGTAACAAATACCTCGAAGCAAATTTAAATAATTAATCATTAACCGCGAATCGATGACGATTCGGATTGACTCATTCCTTTAAAGAACCAGTTTTAAGTTTTTGGTTAACCTTGTATTTATATGTTTTACCTAGAAAAACTCTGAAAACGTTTTAAAAATATTGCAATAGAATGTTAATTATAAAGTTCATTAAATTTGATACGCGTACTAACTCGAACGTGTAAGTTGGGAAATGTGGTACGGAGTTTGTTTCCGCTTAACTTAAATTAAAAACATTTAAAAGCTTATTGCTAACTTTTTTATTTTACAGTGGTTAGTGTTTTTGTTGTTCAAAATTGACTTTTAATTTAAAATACTTTCAAATAAAAATTTAAACAAATTTAAGCTTGTATTGCCGACTTTTATAGGGTAATTGTCCGTAACATAATTTTTGTTTTTTTACAAATATATTAACAAAAAAAATTTTTCATTAAGAAGTAGTATTTAATTTTTAACTCACAACTTGATTTGTACTATTTTTATGGCAGAATACCACAAATCCGGGTGGGGATGTGTCCTTTTGGTAAGTTTTTTATCAAAAGTAGTTGCTAATTTGTTAAATGTTTATTATTTTTTTGTTATTATTATTATTACTTTAATTATTAATTAACTCAAAGTTAAGTCAATAATTATTAATAAATGTTTTTTAAATTAATAATAATTTCTGTTTGTAGTAACTCTTAAAAAACGAAACTTAGTCCGGTAAAAGGTAGCCGCAATAAATCAGATTCGCTTTGATTTTATTTTTTGAGACTACTAATTATGACATTAAATTAATAATAATAAAAGTAATTTATTTGAGTATAAAATATTAATATTTTTAAACAAATCGTTTTCAAACTTTTTTTCATTCAGCAGACTTTTGAACTTTTAAATATAATCCGCGCCACACGTTTTTGCTATCAAATAAAATCAATTTAAAACAACAAAATACCTTCTAAAAACAATATCAAATTTAATAAAAACTTTATCAACTATTTAAACTTAGTTTGAGCAGAGAAATTATTAATATAAACATGTTACAACAATACTGCTAGATAAGAAAGTTTGTATTAACATGTAAACAAAATTCTTGTAGGCGAAATGCAACGGCAGGGTTGTTCGTTTGAAATAACCACCTTAATTCTAAAGTTTTACAGTATTAACAACCCCACTCAGTATATGCGCTTTCGACCGTACACACACGCTTGTTCACACATAGTATTTAACGAAATGATAGTTTTGTGGTTGATTGTAGGGTTGTTCGTACATGCTGCAACAAATCATGTTCCGCAATTTAGTAATGAAATTTCAGTTATTGAAGTAAACGAGGAGGAACCAATTGGTAAGAATCTTTTAAATAGTGTTTTGTCATTTACTATTCTTAATTAGCAAAACAGTTTTAATGTAAAAAGTTTTTAAAGAGATATTTATTTCTAGTATTTTACATATATTTATCAAAAATACTTGTTTAGTTATCATTATTTATTTAGTTTTTTATGACACAAATTAAAAAAAAAAGTATTTAAAAAATAGTTGGAACACTAGTCACCAACATGTTTGAACACAAATAACGTTTAAAAATATTAAAATGATCCAAAGATTTATGCATAAAATAAAATAAAAATTTTTAATAAGTAAAAAATACTACTTGAATAGTTAAACTAAAAATAAATTTTGAAAACTTTATTTACTCATCCATGGATTTGGTTTAGTATTTTTTTCAACGCATTTATTTTAATATTCCTATTAGGTACGATACAACGCCTAACAAATTACATGATAAAATGGAAATTGTTAAAATTTCGAACAAAATCCAAAAAAAACTACGAATACACTTATTCTTGAAAATATTTAACTAATTTGCATAAAAATAATAAACTGATTATCATGCAAAACGTTTTTATTATTCAAACTTAAAAAATTTAATGCACTAATCAAAAATTATTGATAAAATTGTATGCATATTCGTAACACTATGACTCAAAAAACCCGAAAATCTAAGTACCATTACACGCTTATACCCAATGGACACGGACATAAAAAGACGTCTTTTAAACGTCTTTTTAACGTTTCGGACGTCTTTTGAACGTTCAAAAGACGTCTTTTTTAGGTCCCGTGCTCACTGGGTACAATTTGACAGCTGAACGGATTTTGTGTATTTGTTGTTGTTTACTTTTTTATTACTATAGCTCGTTACTTCGTAAATTTTAATCTTGTGTGAAATCTGTGAAATTAGAAATAATGTAATCAAAGTTTGATTGATAGAAAACTAGATTAATAGAAAAAAAAACTAGTGATGAGTTGGGAAATGGAAATACAAAAATATCGATTCGTTCCGATCAACGGTGGTCTCAATTTAGATAACAGAAAATACGCCTAACAAATCAATTTGCAACTTTTAAGTGAAAATGCGTAAAAAAACAGAGTTTTCAGCATTTTCTCGTAAAAGTAGCTAAAATTTAACTTTTTATTTTATTTTAACTTTATTTATTAACTTTATTTATCTTAACTTATTAAACTTTATTTTCTCGTAAAAGAAAGTTTACCATTTCATTACAAACATTTTTACAGAATAAAACAACAAATGTATCTTTCTACTAAAAAACAATAATATTATCAAAAAATCAGAATAAAATAGTTATAATAAAAGAATTGTAATAAAATTAATTGTGTTTTAGACGAAGGAAAAAAGAAAAAAATGTTTAAAGTTTTCATGAAACTTTTTGAACAAATTAACAATATGCATACAAAACTCTTCTAACATTCGCGCGCGCACAGACACTCTCACTCTATATATATATATATATATATATATATATATATATATATATATATATATATATATATATATATATATATATATATATATATATATATATATATATATATATATATATATATATATATATATATATATATATATATATATATATATTATATAACAATAGCGACAGTTGGTAAGCAGTTACTATTAATCTTAAAAAAGTTGTATACAATTTTTGCAATTATAATAAATTGAATTGTTACTTGTATTAATACATCAAACGATAGGAGTTTATGGGACCACACTCAAAATCAGTTCGGTTTCTTATTTTCGCTAGGCTAGAAATTTCACCTTTAAAAAATGTTTGTAGATAAATTCTAAAGTTACGTAGCAAATTTACAGATTTCAGGATTTTAAGGACAAAAAATGTTTTTAATGTCAAAAAATAATATTGAAGGAAACCTGTTTATGAAAATGTAGAGTAAATCTCAATATTTTTCAATGTTAGAGAAGGACAATAAGGATGGATACAATAAAAAAAAATTTACGTTCTTAAGAGGGATGCTACTTTTCAATCTTTAAAATTTGAACCACGGCGTTTCAATGATCCCCTGCATAAAATAAGGTGAGGTGTAAAACGACCTTATTAACTCACCAAGTAACGCTACACATTAAATTTGAGGTAAGTTAGTAAGTTACGTATCTTAAGTAATTTGCGTATGAAAGCAAAGTCTACTGTTATAACTCTTTATAAAATTTCTTTTGAGTAAAATAACTTCTAAGTTTCTTCTTAACATAAATTAGTTAACACAAGTTTTCTTTTTTATAATTTCATTGACATTTCATTACTTTTTGTAGATGCTTTGGAGTCAAAGGCAAGGAAAGACGGAAATGTTGTGAAGTATGGGTTGCTATAAATAAAGTTAATGAGTACGTTTTAACGTTGAATAACAAATGCATGGAAGGCAAGTTTTTAATGCATGTCAGGGTAAAAGTGTTGGTTCTCAAATTTAAAAAAAAAATAAACAGAAGCTGTTTTAAAGAAGTTAAATCTATTATATATTTTTGAAATAATAGGTTGGGCTCTGTGTTTCATCACGTCTCTGTTCTGTAATTGCGTGTGCACAGCTCTACTTAAATAAAATATCTTGCACAAGCACGTTGTGCATTTGGCAAAAGTTAAATAAATCTTAATCTAGCACTGCTGAAAAAAGTAATTTTTCTTGACTCGAAATGTGTGAAACTTTTCCCAGTTTTAGTGACAATAAAAAATTCCAGGATGAAAACCTAACATAGAAAGATTCATAAACAGTTAATTCAGTCCAGTGCAAAAAGCCGTGTAAAACCTATGAGTTATTGTAAAAAAATGGAGACTGAGGCAATAAATTTTTACAAACAGTTAGCCGCTGAATTACATCTTTTTTACAAAAGTCCATGTATTGTTGCTTCATCTGATAATATGGTGTGTCATGGTTCTGGTGTGAAGAACAAGTACCCATATCATATTAGAAAAGACGTAGACTGTTAAAAAACAGATCGGATGTTACTGCAAAGCCTAATAATAAAGTCTCATTTTTAAGTGCAGCAAAAAATTTATGTTACTAACACCAAGGAGGTATAATAGAATAGCTAGAGAATGAACGAAGCCAAAAATTGAGATAAAGTATTAGGGGGGTGATCATATGGAGAAAAAATATCCCGCTTAACCGAGGTACTCGGCTAGGCGGTACGAATTTCAGCTCGCGTTCATACGGAAAAAAAAACACCTCGTGTTTTTGAAGTCATGCGATGTTTGTTTACAAATAATCTTTCACGTTAATTTTGAATTAAAAACAAAAAAAATTTAATAAAAACTATTTTTATTTACAAGAAATAGATAACTTTTCAATTTACTTTATGCGTATTAAAGGGTTTTTGTGAGATGAATGTAAAACAAATTTCCAAGACAAATGTTACAGTTTTATAAACATACTTAGTCAAACAACTTAAATTCAAAAATTATACAAATGGTGTTTTAGTTTTGCATCAAAGCCGCCCAATCTATTCAAAAAGTTTTTCAGCTTGAGTTCATATGAGAAATTTTCACCCCGCCTAACCGGATTCAGATGTGAGATTTCGCCTAGGCGGGGTAAATAGTTTTACTTATAAACGCAATTTTAAAATTGTATGAACTTTAAAGAAGAGGCAAGGTTTTGGTAGAGTTATATATCAGGGTTAAGTTGGATGCTATTTATCCATATGCCCCTGAACAGCCCCTTGGTAGTATAATTATTCAAGCGGCAAGTAAAAATGGCGCCTTGGCGTTAAAAAAGGAAAATTTTTAATTTAAATTTTAAAATTACCTAACTTGAATAGTTTTCGTTATTTTTTGAAATCAACATTTTGAGTCTCAAAATGTGGAGAATAAAATAAAGATTAAAAAAAACAATTGTAACTTTTTAATGAACTTTTCTATATTAAAAAGAATAATTAGTAAGTATATTTCTTGACCTGAATGTTGAAATAAAATCATTTTACGAGATAGCATTGGAAAAAAAGCAGGATTTTGCTGACAACTTGAATTTTTTAAAAAAACTGTGATGAAATTATACATGTAAAACTTCATTAATAAATAAAAGAAGTGAAGAAATAATTACACAAATTGTTGTTGCTTTTTGAGAAATAGGTGTTCGACAAAGGGAATTAACTATATTTTGAAATTATAACCTTATAAATTGGCTAAGGACACGTCTTTCCATGGAGATTACTAGAGCCTCCCTAGTCTGCTTAAGAGGGTCACGAACCCCATTTAGGCATTATAACACTGACGATGTTGGCCTGGAAAATGTGCAATGTGGACTTATTTAACTTGTATTTTTAAATTGTTTTATTACTTTTAAAAAGAATGCATTATTAAATCAAAAACCTTATACAGGCTCAAAATAGCAGAGATATGCGCAATATAATTGGCTGATTTTGAAAGAGAGGTATGTGCGCGTTTGATAAAATCAAAACAAACGTCAGAAAGCATATTGAATATAGAAGTGAAATCGCATAAAAAAATTAAGTAATAATAAAAAAAAAAATTACCATTTTTCGATTAAATTTTGTTCATTATAGTACTTATTCTTTTATAAAATTTCATTACTCAAAACACCAGTGATTTTTAAAATATTATCTACCATGGTTGTTATAGCTAGCTATAACAACCTTTATTAGTTGAATAATATTGCTTATTGGTGTTAACACCAATATTCTAGCTACCTTGTATAATATATCTAACACCAATATTCTAGCTACCTTGCCCTGGTAATTTGTAACCATTGAATTAAAAGCGATTGTAAGCAAGAGCTGATTTGGATTGCCCCAAGTCTTGTATTGTAATATAAGAATACAAAACATTGTAGAATAATAAGCAATAAGAAAAAGTTTATGACCTGATATCCGCAGGTTTGTTTTGATATAGTAAATTGAAAAAGGATAAAAAGGTAAAAACAAAGATTGCAAACATACAAATTTGTGTTACTATTTATTTCAATTTAAAAAGTCAATACATCTAAAACACATGTTTGTTAAATTTTAGCTGTTAACCTGAACAAAATGTTGGTTATTGTATTCTATAATTGATAAAAAATTTTTGCCCTCTAATAGCAACTGATGGTATGTTATTATTAAATAGTGCAACAAACTTTGATAAATTTTATGTTTATTACACTATCAATTTATTTTACATTGAGTGCTCCTAAAAAAAAAAAAAATCTGCAAATAAGCTTTATATTGAGTATGCTTCATAGAACAGGGATGTTACATTTGATGCAAAACATATTTTCAGATCTTTTCACGTTTCAATTTAGCTTTAAATGCAGAATCATCTAGTCATTAACAAATTACAAAAGCTTGTAGCATTATAAACTATTAGAAAAATATGACAACCTATTGGTCATTTTTTATTATCAAAAAAAAAAAAAGGCAATCAACTAATTGCCAATTTTTTTTGATAATGTAAATTAATAACCTAATTGAATAACTTCTGTTACACCTTTATGGAGAACTAAGGGTAAAGAGGTAACAAAGAAAAATTGCACACATGCAAAATCATGTTGAATGTACTATTTCATACATATAAAACATGTTTGTTAGATATATCTGTTAAAAAGAACAAAATACTGGTTATTGTATACATATAAAACATGTTTGTTAGATATATCTGTTAAAAAGAACAAAATACTGGTTATTGTATTCTATAATTGGTAATAAAAAAAATGAAAAATTAACCTCTAATAGCAATTAATATTAAATAAAATTAAATAAAAAAACAGATTTTGATAAATTTATACTTATTATATTATCATGCAACATTTTATATTAAACACTTTTGAAGAACAAAAAAATTTTTTTAGCTCTAAAAATGATATGTAATAATACGTCATGATATATAATAATGCGCAATGATATATGTAATATGTAATAATACATAATTTTTTGGAGTAAAATCAAGGTTTTTTTTATTGAATTTTTATGGTAATTCAGGTTTTTATTGTCACTAATCCATCAAGGCTACTACCTAATTAAAGCCATTTTAGGTTAAACAAAAACAGCATGATAATTGACTCTTTTTTTCTAATAAATTTTCAAATAAAGTATTAGTGTTCAATTGCCATCTTTATAAATTGTCAACTTATATAAAGTTATTGTAGCTTATTAGTAACATACATTTTTTTTTCCATTTCATCACATTAACAACAGATAAAATCCCATCATCTAAGGTTGCAAGATGTTCGGCTAACACCGTTTTTAATAATTAAAAATTAGATTTTTTCAAAAGTAGGGTCAATTTGTTATTAAATTATTAAAAATATATTTTTGATAATTTATTAATAAATTGTCCCTACTTATATTATTTTAACTGCAAAAATGTTTTTATAAGTACTTATTAAAAAAAAAAAAAATTATAAAACTTTTTAAATAAAATGTCACATGAGAATTATAGGGTTCTATCTGCCTTTTTTTTGTAAGTTGTGAATTTTTTTTTTGCTATGAGTTTTAATATTTAATAATCAAAATGTTTTACTTCTGTTATAAGTTGTTTATGCTATTTATGTTTCATTATTAAACATATACTTTTTAAAGTTGCTTATTATTGTTATTAATTATTAAAGCTTTAATTGTTAATTTCTTTTAACATAAAAAAGGCAGATAGAACCCTATACATCTTATGTGACAAAATGCCAAATATTAGCATTTTCAGTACGATTTTTTAAACTTTTACTTTCAAATTTAGTACTATCCTTAAATTTTCAGACCTATGTTTTTATATGATTCTAAAACAACTAACAAATTTTATTGTGATCATACATAAAATAGGGAAAAAAGAGCGAGGAAAGTCAGGTAGCGCACAGTATATTTTCGGCCCTACAATTAAATTTAGTTTTACTAAAAATAGAAAGTTTTTTCCTAAAGGTTTTAGGGAAAATATTTATATAAACTAATATCATAACTCTTTAATAGTGCCAGTCTATAGCCTTGCTATTATGCTAATGATTTATCTGTGCAATTTATTTATTTTGATATTGCAATTATCAATGCACTTAGTTTATGTTACTATCATGGTGTAATGTTTGTGTTTTATATAATGATCATTAAATGGTCTTTATTTTACAACAGTTTATTGTAGTGCAGTTAATTAAAATGGCATTATAAACCTTGATGCTATTAGTGTAGTAGACATGGATTTAATACATTTATATTTTTCTGATATATTTTCAAAAAATATTTTAAACTTTATAGAAAATTTACTATCAGAAATTTTAGACATTATTTTTCTGTAGATTCTGTTTTATTAACTTATTTAATAATTATAATCTATGATAGATAAAGTAATAAAAATTATAAGAAAATAAAGTGAAGTTATCAGCGCATAAGGTTATTATTTTTTCATTATTAACATTATAGTTAATCAAAGAAATAATCTATGATAGATAAAGTAATAAAAATTATAAGAAAATAAAGTGAAGTTATCAGCGCATAAGGTTATTATTTTTTCGTTATTAACATTATAGTTAATCAAAGAAATGTTTCTTCACCTTTTTTTTTTTTTTTTTTTAAATCAAGAAATTTCTTTTGTAATAATTGTTGTAAAAATTCCAGTATTAAAAAGTAAACTATTTATTATTACCAAAATTTTTTATAGGTACTTATGTCACAAAAGTTACAGCAACAGATAGTGATAATGATGAAGTTTTTTACAGTACAGCTGAGGACGAAGGAGGATATTTTGTCATTGACAAAGAGTCTGGAATCATAAGAACTGCCAAAAAGATTGACAGAGAAAGTTTAGTATGTTATTTTTTTTTTAACTGTTTATCAAGATTTATTAAATTTTTATTAACACTTTTAAAAAGGTAGCTCATATTTGCACACACACACACACACACACACACACACACACACACACACACACACACACACACACATATATATACATATATCATGGCCTATTATAGTGACTGGCCTAAATAATCAAATTTGAAGAATATGTTTTTAAAGAGTTGTATCACTGGATGCTTGTAACTAAGTCTGTGAAAGTTTTTCCCCTTCCAAATGAAAAAAATGTGGATGAAAAAAATAAGATGGGTAAATGCTATACCTCAAGATATTATTCTAGAGGGTTTGAATATTTTTATTTATGAAGGCCATTGGCCTAAAGACTTTGAAAAGGTTTTAGCTTACTTAAATTTAATACCAAAACATTTACCATCTGTATTTTTCTTGTGTAAATCCAAAATTTTGACTCCACTGGCACCACCAAGACCAACTACTAAATCATTGTCATTTTTAAAAAGTACTATGCTCGATAAAATGAAGCTTTTGTGAAAGTGGATATTTCTTCTTTCAAAGATTTGTGTAATAAAATAATGTCTAAAACTTTTTCCTTCTCAATAATATCAAGTTTCAGTGAACTGAAACAGAAAACTGTTATCCCTAATAAAAGTTATCCCTAATAACTAATAAAATGGGTCCCTAATATTATTAAAACAAAAAATTTTTCGAAAGTATATAATGTTAGTTCTCAAAACAAGTAAAATTTTATAAAAGTTTTTTTATGTAAAAAAAAATTGTTATTTTAAAATTCACTGACAAACATTTTAATTAAAAATTAAAATATGCATTTTTACAAAAAACTATATATATATATATATATATATATATATATATATATATATATATATTATATATATATATATATATATATATATATATATATATATATATATATATATATATATATATATATATATATATATATATATATATATATATATATATATATATATATATATATATATATATATCATATAATGTTACTTCTATTACAGCCATTATTGATAAAAATGTTTATAATATAGTTGTATATTACATATAATAAAAAGAAATTAGGATTTGTAAAGTATTTTTTAGGTTAAAGCTGTTTTAGTATTTAATTAGCCATCTTTTGTTTTTTATGACTTCTGCACATCTAGAAGGCATACTATCTACAAGTCTTTTTAATAAGTCATTTAGCAAAGCATTCCAACCATCAAGAAGAATTTGAAACAGATCATCTTTATTTGTTGCCCTACGATCATGCAATTTTTTATCCAAAATAGACCAAAGGTTTTCTATTGGATTTAAATCAGGAGACTGTGCTGGCCAAGACATAACTGGCAGGCTTGGTCGGGAAACGGGTGCGATCGCACTCAATAATTGACCATGGAAATATTATTTAGTTGTGAAAAACCGACTAGATTTTTTAGTCGTTTTGAGAACATTTCAAAAACAAATAAAAAAGCGCAATAAGATTAACTGGACCGACGAGAGACAGTTAAAAAAAGAAAAATAGCTTTTAACGCGAAAAAACGTGAAGAGCAATTATTTTTGAAACGTCACTCTTACATAACTTTTTTTATAAAATAAAGCGACGTTTTTTGTATAAAGTAACAGCTATAAAGAAACAAATGTTCTTCCATTTATCAAAGAGTATATATAATTTTTATTTATATACTTATGTCTTATTTCCAGTGCTGGATTGAGGAAGTGGGGTGGGGGTAGTAGAGCTTTAGCCGCGGGACTCACAATGTTAGGGGAAATAGTCAAGAAGACCATTCGGTATTTTTTTAAGTCATTTTTACACTGTGGCACATAAAAAAGGCCGCCAAAATAATGCAGCCCCCGGCCCTGAAAAGTCCAACAAGATTCAACCAAATGATTTATTTATAAATAAAAAAGTTTTTTCAATAACTGTTTTATGCTTCGCGAAGTTTAAAAAGTTTAACAGATTTAAAACGATTCTTCTTAATAAGATGAACAAATGAAATAATTAAATCATTGAGTTACTGTAGAAATTCAATTAGCTAGATATATAACATTTATAGAAATTAACAAAAAACGTTAAATTACTTTGTGAGGAGGAAGCGGAACTGCTTCACAATACCGCTGATGATGTTTAGTGAGTGGGCCTAATAATTTTAATACATTACATACATAAAAATACATTACATACATAAAAAATACATCCCTTATATATAAAAAGTTAGAAAATACTAATAAAATCTATAATATATTTACAAAATGTTGACAAGTTAATAAATATAAATTTAAAACATTTATTATTGTAAACAAATGTTAGTTTAAAACATTTATAGATTTGTAGATGTGGTTTCAAGAATTAATATAATAGTTCCTTTGATAGTATATTCTTAAAATAATTTATGCTAGAAATCTCAATGTAAACGTAACAAAGTTCAAATAATACATTTTTTTTTAATATTTCAACAGAATACTCAGGACATTCGGTTAGTATTTTTTAAATATTCTAGAAATTTTGGTTAGTATTTTTTAAACCAATTGAATTAGTTTTTTGTAGATTTGGCGGGATTTTAGTTTTCGCAAATATTACTTTTTTATTTTTCCGCACTAAGATGTTTTAGAACATTTAAGTTTATGTACGTTTCCATGTAAGTCCGTAAAACAAAATATTTTTAAATTTACAACAAAATGAACTTATTATTTTGTGGACAAACAAGGAAACATACATAAACTTTCAATGTTCTCAAAACGACTAAAAAATCTGGCCAGTTTTTTGCAACTAAATATTATTTCCGTGGTCAGTTATCGAGTGCAATTGCACCCGCTTCCCGACCAAGCCTGAACTGGAATCAATTTAGATTCTAGATATCTTTTATTCAACCGTGCTGTATGTTTGGGATCATTATCCTGTTGAAAGATATAGTCACCATTAGGAAAAAGTTCTTTTATACTTTTTCCAAGCTGTTCAACTAAGATTTTGTGATACAAATGCTGGTCTATAGTTCTAATAGGTCTATAGGTCTAATAGTTGCCTTTCACCCGGTAAAGTTTTCCAACTTTGTGTGCACTAAAACGACCCCAGACATTAATCTTTTTGTCATGTTTAATAGTTGCCTTGCACGTTTGAGGATTGAATTTTTCTCCAATTAATTTCCAACAGTGAGATCGACCATTATACTACAAAACAAATGGAGACTCATCACTCCAGATAACGTTAGCCCATTGTTCACATGTCCAATCTTTGTGCTCAATGCACCACTTTACACGCTTTTTTTGATTGATTTCACTAACAAAAGGTTTTTTAATTTGCTTTCCAGAAAAAAAATCGCTTGATGCTTTAATCCTGTGAGATATTGTCCACTTTGAGATATTAATAAGGTTTAAATCTAGTTTTATCTCAGAACGAGTGATTTTACGATTTTTTTTGACAGCATTAAGAATGTAGCAATCTTCCTTTTTTGAAGTTTTCGCTTTCTCCCAGATCCAACAGCCCTTTCAGTTTTACCAGTGTGTTTGTATTTCTTTACCAATCTACTAATAGTTGAGTTTTCTCGTTTAAAACGATTTCCAATGCTTCTGTGAGACTCTCCTTGGTCAGCAGCTTCAATAATTTGTCCAATTTCTACATCTGTAAGATGTTTTCTAAAATATTAAATGTGTCCATAATAATCTGTTTTTTAAATAATATAATTAAAAATATAGGGCAGAAAAGGTATGTTTATATATAAATATTAGTTTATATATAAACCTACCTTTTCTGCCCTATATTTTTCACTGCCAATTTTTTTTGTTTTGCATTATTATACATTTTATGCTTAAAATATAAAAAAAAAATTAGTGTGGCTTTTTTTTTGCACCCTACTGTATATATATTTATATTTTAGTAAAGTCTAAATTCACAGTTTTATTTATTAAATATTTTGTGTTGAACAAATATAATAAAATTGAAAATTATGCTCTAAACATCAACCAAATGTCTTAATATTTTTACACAAACATTCTATCATATAAGTAAGCAATTCTAGGGGGCGGGATCTTGATATTTTCATTTTTCATTTTAAGGACCGCTGTTATGCATATGTATATATATATATATATATATATATATATATATATATATATATATATATATATATATATGTATGTATATATATATATATATATATATATATATATATATATATATATATATATATATATATATATATATATATATATATATATATATATATATATTTATATTACTTTTCTAATTAAATGTTTTTTAAAACAAGAAAATATCCACCACAACATCTGAATCTAGTAAATTTCAAAAACGATCTACTTAAAATGATATTTATTTTACTAATTCCTACAACCAGTTTCAAAAACAACTAAATAATGACATTTGCAAAATTAAATCATTAGAAAAAATATTTCTTTTTGCGGATAAATCACATAATATTTATGAGCTTGAAAAATATTCTTACAATAAACTTTTCATTAAAAGCGTAACCAGAACTTTTAAAAAAATCTGATAATTCGCAATATAATAACATTAATAACACAGCTAAAGTAATTGCTAAAGACTTAGGTATTACCAACAGAATAGAATTTCTTGCAATCAATACCGTGTTTAAAACAATAAAGGATCACAAAGATGATTTTGCCAACAATAGTGAATGTCGATTAATTAATCCATCTAAACTAGAACTTGGAAAGTTTAGTAATATTTTACTGGAAAACATCAACAATAAAGTGAGAAAAGCCACCATTATAAATCAATGGCATAATACAGATGACGTAATAAATTAGTTCTGCAATATTAAAGACAAACACGACTGTTCTTTCATCCAGTTTGATATCAAAGAGTTATATCTCTAAAGAATTACTTCAAATTTCACTTATTTACACCAAACAATTTACAGAAATTTCAGAAAATACATTAGATATTATTAATCACTCAAGAAAATCATTACTGTTTACTAAACATGATAGTATCTTGGTCAAAA